TAAAGGATGCATTTACACACACTCAAGCATCCTTACGGCAGTGTTAGATAGCTCATGTAGAGAAGCTTTGTGGCTGAATCCGACAGTCAGACTCCTACACTATGGTGGGTTTGGTTTATTGGAAACATCCTGTCCATGGGTCAGTGAGATTTTTTTCAGGAGATTGGTGATCAGACCTCTTCACATTGCCCTAAATCAGTCACATGGCATGGAGCTGAATTTGGATTGGTGCTTCTTTGTGCTTGTAAGAAGGGAGATTATTGCTTTTCCACAGCCCTTGAAACAAACTCCTGAAAAACTACTATTAGTCACAGAGAACCAAATATCTCACCTCTTGCAGAACAAAATTATAGGGGTGGCCCCACATCTCTTTCCACTTTTGCATTATCATTTATCATCTTCCCCTTCAGAAGTGTCAAAAAAGTCCCTTAATGGACTTCAGAACGGCCCTAGAAAATTATGTTATAAGATTAATCACAGAATGTCTGGTTTGGCCCTAAGAACTTCAGTAATGGAGAAAGCCTGCTTAAAAGGTCTATGGGTTTCCATCTGTGACAGTATAAAAGAAAAATGTGAGTACAAACCCATCAGAGATGCTTTTGGTGCAGGATATTTTGTTTCAAGGTGATAGATTGAATTAGATTACCAATATAACCCCCTTCCAATTCTAATATACTATTGTTAAAAAGACAAGCCAAGTACCCCTCTGCTGAACCTTTCCATTTAGCTTATATTCTTTCTTTACTTCTTTTTTCTAACCAGCAAGTAATAGGTGTTTGCAATTCATTTTCCTTTTACTTTTCCACTTTTACTTGATAATTAAAAAAGAAATGGAGGGAGAAAGAAGAGGAGCTAATTGACTGATTTTCCTTATCACAATGTCAGCTTCAGGCATTGAAATGTTTCTGTAGATTACTTGATGTTGGCAGTATTAAATAAACACCTAATAGAAACATGGTAAATAAATAAGGGGCAGGGCTCTCCATGCACCAAATGCCATTTGAATGCATTTGATGCTTTTTAGAACTCTATATTCTGTGCAGATCAGCTATACAGATTAAGTGACCGAAAATAATCATTCAGAGCCAATTTGATATTGGCTGTAGAATGTGCAAACAAAAATACAGTAGAGAAATTTAATTTGGAAACCTGACACAATTCCTGAGAGATGACATGGAATAGGATCATTTTCTGAAGGGCTGTATTAACACTGATGCAGTTTACTATCACATTATCTAATGTTATACATAAAGTTTTATGTCCACCAGCTTAGCATTTTTAAGTTCTTCAATACTGTGACAATAAAATTGAGTACTGCAGCTAATTTTATATTCCATAATAATAAAAATATCTGTGCTGGGAAATCAGTAATCTTTAAAGTGCTTAATAAAAGGGAAAAAGCCCAGATGTGAATGGTATTTGGGTTTGTGCAAAATGGTCAATTATCATATTTAAGTTGAATATTGAATCATATTTGAACCTGATCTAGCTTTACTTTCTCTCAGATTTTGCCAGTAAGAAAATTAATTGGGAGCTTGACACTTTTCTAAATAGTGTAATAAAAAGTCACACTTAATTGTGAGTAAGTATTGGCTATAACAGAAAGCCATGTTTTAACACACTGATAAATCCATTAATTTGAATTGGATTTTTGAAAACATCTCCTCCTAATTTTAAAGTAGAGTCATAAACAACAATCACATCTGAGATGGTGAGCACATTGAACTTGAACAAAAGTAGATAAGCCTATTTCTTGCCCAGGTGGAATGTTTGAGCAGGATTGCCTTTGGGTGGTTTTGGGCAGGAGAACTGGGAGTGATTTGACCGCATTAACTCTCCCTATCTCCTACAGATAAAGAGCCAGATAAAGTTCTGGAAGACAATATACATCAATACAGCCCATCTGCTGTTCTGAGAACCTAAGCAGAACAAAACAAGGGAAGAGGCCAAAACGGATCAGAACTCAGAATCTAGGGAGAACCTTAGCAAACCTGTTCATGATATTTATCAGTATGGTATAGCAGAAGAGTCCTGAGAAAGTGGTAGTCCTGTAAAAATGTTTGGACATTGTATTTGAGTGATACTCTGACTGCTTAAGACCAGCTGACTGCACTGTGATAAGGCTTTCAGGACTTTAATCTAGACTTTTAAGTGGGATGTAAAGAAACTGGTCTCAGTGAGCATATTTTGTGCAGAATGCTGGCTCCAATGGCACCCCTTGGTACCACAGCACACAGTGTTCAACCATACCTTGCTAGGAATTTTTCACAGGAAACCCATGGAAATTCAGCCATAAGTTCTCTATGTGTAGTGGTCTTCACACATTCCTGGGATATCAAGGACAAATGCATTCTGGAGTAGTTGGGATCAGGGAAGGACAAATGAGAGGAAGCCCACTCAGGTAGAATTTGTACCAGTTAATTTAGACAACCTGATGCAGCTCCTGCAGGACCATCTGAATAGGGCAGATACTTTCATTATACTTCCATTTCATTTTTCTGAAGATTTCCATACTGCTTACACCTACTTAACCTTTTCATTCTTGTCTAACATGTCCCTGAACCTGGATTCTACAATTGAGGATGCTTTATTTTGTAACCAGATGTCCAGATTTCAGAACCTGGCCCCTGTGTCCAGGCAGAAACTGCATCCTTTGTCATTCATGCTTTGGGATCTTAGAGAGGCAAGAGAAAAGAATCCACAGTGATCATTTCTTATCCAGAGCATAAGGATGCTATGAGAGAGTGAACAGGAGTTCCATACATTCAGATAAAAATGTAGGTGCCTACCCCTGTTGCTTATTTCACATGGATCACTTGTTGAAGTTTTGTGTACATTTATCAGGACCCATCCATAGGAACACTTCATAGCAGGCTAACCAGCTTGGCCTTCCGGGCCAGGTTAAAGAGCTACCTTACATTACAACCAACTGAAGGGTCAGAAGGATGTTGGAAAGATAGTTTAGGGTCCTGCTCTCATGGCTGGAAGTGCCTGCAAGGGGACTTAGGAAATATCCCCACACTTTCACATCTTGCACTGGGTCACATGCCCACATTAAGTGCTTATGCGAAGGGGGAGGCATATAAGTTGTCTAAATAAAGTTCCAAAGAGCTGTGGGAAAGGAAACAGTTGGCTTGGCTGGTCAGGGGGTTGTCATGTGGAAGGACAAGTCCTGCTGAAAAAGAATCAATAAGGCTTCTGCAAAGGTATGTCCTGTCTCACTGAGCATTTAGAGTTCTTTAGAACGTCAGCAAACATGTGAATTGGGATGATTTGAATTTGTTTACATGGATTTTCAAATACTTTTGACAAAACCTCTAAAATTCCTGAGCAAACTTAGTAGTAATGAGATAGTTATCCTTTTTTTCCTATCTGGTTAAAGAATAGAAAACAAAGTAGAAATGAACATTTCTTACACACAGTGCATGTAAACAGTGGGGACTCCCAAGTATCTGTATAGGGACTAATACTGTCTAACTTATTAATGAATTATCTGGTGAACAGTGATGTGACCAAGCTTCCAGTTAAGACCAAGTTATTTATGGTATTTAAAATCAAAACAGGATTATGAAGAGTTTCAGATGGATCTGTTCAACTGGGAAATGAGGCAGTCAAATGGCAATGCAGTTCAGTGCCACCAAGTATAAATAATATGCATTAGGTCAAAAAAACCTAATTTTACATACAGTATATACTGTTGGGAGTTGAGCTAGCAGTGACTGACAAAGCAAGGCATCATAGCATCGAGGTGGATAGTTCAATAAAACATTGCCCTGATGTGCAGCTGTTTTGAAAAGGGCCAATTCAATCTCAGGGATCATTATTAAAAAGAATTAAAAATAAAACTGCCAATATAATATTGCTTTACAGAACTCTTTGCTGTGACCATGGCTGCAATATGGCACAGTTTCTGCCACCATGCCTTAAACAAGATATTGTGGAGCTGGAATATATTTGGAAAAGAGCAATTAAAAAAAATAAAAAACTGGATTAGCTCCCCTGTGAGGAAAGGTTAGAAGTGTTTAATTTTATGTCTGTCCTACTACAAGAACCTTGGCTCATCCAATGAAGAAAAATGCTGGATAATTTAGGACAGGGAAAAAGAAGTATGCTTCACAGAGCACATAGTTAAATGGTATAATTCACTCTGATAAGAAATACTGTTGGCCACTCACTTACATGGCAGTCTGAAGCACACAGCTGAAGCACAGAGCTTAATGAGAGATGTTAACCCAGAAAAAGTCTGGGAGAAGGTCTGATTTATCAATTGCAGCTGGATTTGCTTCTTCGTTGGTTATAGCGGAGACCTTTGCTCCCTTCCTAATGAATAAATGAGGGATGGTGAACAAGTGATTTTTGTAATCACCCAAATTCTCTAGATGCCAATTTAACCTTATTTCCCACATTCAGGCTCCTGCATCCCCCTTTCCCATTTCATTTGCATGGGGAAAGAGCATATTTCAAATAGGAAAAATGAGTTTTGTTTAAAAAGTGTACTGAAAATGCATGTGTGTGTTGCATAGGTTTTTTCAAGCATGAACTCTAGCTCAGTAAGTTATAAACATTTTCAGAGAATATCTTATTCTGCTAGTATTCATATTTTGCATTACATTTGGGACTTGTTTGCTTGATTTGTAAATGTAAATTAAACTTTCATACATTCCTAGAGTAAAACCTTGGTGGGAGGGTCTTCTGGTGGCCAGGCTGGTTCTCCAGTGATAACTGAATGTCCTACTTGGTCCATTGTCTCCATTGCTCCCTGGGTAAATGAGATGAGACAGTGGAGTACAAGGAACCATTCCAGTGCTTATGGTGAAACCAAAGGGGTGGGACCAAAGACACCCCTGGAATGGAGCTTCTTAGGCTTCTTTGAGATTGTGTTTGCTAAGGAAGCCTCCTCCTCCTCCTCCTCCTCCTCTGAAAAGTTTTACCCTGGGCATAGGCTAGTCAGGAGCTTAATGTTGGTTTTAAAAGTGAATCAGACAAATACATGATAAATCTCCATTCACTCATAACTTATTTTAGAATTCTGTACAGCTGTATTTATGTAAACAGTACATATATTAGTTTATGGCTTGATAATTAATTTGTAATACTTTGAAAATATTACAGAAGCTTAAACTCTGCATAATATTTCCAAGAAATCTTTTTGTTGTGTTTTTAATATCACAGATTCTTATTTTAATAATAGCCTATGCCAGTGATCTGAGATCTACATTTTTAGTCAAGATATTTTAAAAAGCAATATCCCCACCCATGCTCAGATACAGAAAATACTGCCTTAGCAACAGGTATACAGGCTCTCAGCATCGTTTCTTCCAGTAGGGTAGCCGAGTGACCTCTTATTCCAACATGAGTCGTGTAAGCTGCTGCTGACTGACAAGCCATGCAGTTTTAAGAATAAAACATATGCTGTATTTTTTTTTAAATGCTTGTCCTTGTCTCTATTTCACTGTATTCAGATTTTCTACTTTTGTAGAACTACATAGAGCTAGATTCTCTTTGAGAGAAAACTGTTGTCCCACTCATGGATACAAGATCTGCTCCATCATGTAAACACTAGTCCTTCCTAAAATGTAGCAATTTTTGTAGAGCCATGCATGCTTTCTGCTTGCTTGAAGTAGGATCCCAGTTCGACATGGTGATCAAAATTTTCCTCTAGATTACAACTGGATCCCAGTGAGCTAAGAGAACCAGCCATTGAGCCAGTTCCTTCAAAAGCGTATGTCTGAAGGGAATCAAATGGGGGAACATTTGGATCACAGTTGGCTTCTTCTAGCTTTTGTGAAATGAATTCCCGGAACACATCACTCTCAGGGCCAACCTGCAGAGATTGCCTGTAGAGACTCTGAATCTGTGTTGTGATCTGTCTTCGAGGCTTGTGCTCTCTTAGGACAGTTTGGTTCCTCAGTGCTAAAATATCAAAAGCTTCTGTGTCCTGCTCTCCACCTCCTTCATCATCATATTTAACAATGTTTTCTCTGAATGCTTCTCCTTTCTCATGAAATAGGGGTGTCTTTGCCTCATGCTTCAAGGCCACAATTGCCAGCACAAACACTGGGGAGCAAACAAATGAAAAAATGAGATATTGAGAACTCCACAAAAGTCAAAGTTACTAACATAGATGTGTTGGTCAAAGTTTATAACATAGTATAAAATGAATATCCGTGAAATAAAATTAGAATACAGTTCAAAGTTTAACTTGACTGAGGTCTAACACATTCAGAAAGTGGAGGTATATACAAAGAGGAAGAAGTAATTCACTAGGGATATCAGAGAAATGAAATGACTTGAAAGGGTTTGAATTTCTAAGAAGTGGTTAGTTTTTCCTGAGTCACATAGATTCCATGGACCTGCAGAAGGTTTTGTAAAAATATATTTTCCATAATTTTACCCAAATTTAAGTCATTAAAATTTTTTAAAAGTGCCACCCCAAAATGTGCATTTCTTCCATAGGCCAAAGCATGAAAATGCACATTTTCCAGGCATATTTATCACCTACAAAGCCCTGAATGGCTTGGGCCCTGGTTACCTAAAGGAGCACTTGCGTCCATATATGCCCTCCTGCCCCTTGAGATCGGCGGCAGAGGCCCTTCTCCGGGAACCCTCCGTGAAGGATATTAGGAGGGTGAGTACCCGGAGGAGGGCCTTCTCTGCGGTGGCACCCCACTTATGGAATGCACTCCCCAGAGAGGTCTGCCGGGTGCCGTCGTTATTTGTTTTTCGGCGCCAGGCTAAGACCGTTTTATTTAAAGCTTCTTTTAATTGTTAATGTTTTTTATTGATTTTAAAATTTCACCAGGCTGTCTCCACTATTCATGATTGGAAGCCGCCCCGAGGCTTATGCGAAGGGGGCGGCATATAAGTTGTCTAAATAAATAAAATAAATAAATAAGATATTTTAGGGGGTTGTTGTACATTTTTGGAAAGGGTGCATTTCCACAAGCCTAAATGCATAGATGCAATGGATTTTACACTGCCCATGCACCCTACCAGAAACACAGAAAAGGGACTAAAACAAAGGCAAAAGTAGGGACATGGTCACTAAACACCAAGGGACTGAGACAGGTGGGTGTTTGTGATCAGGCAATCTCTGCTATCTCATACTTAACATGGGTAAACATGGAATGAGTGCAGCAAAATGGACAGTGGTGATACGTTGCATGACAGGAAAAAGCGGCTCTCCCTTTCTTCTTACCCAGGATTATCAGTATGCAAGCCACCACAGCAACCAAAGCTTGCACACTGATGCCCATTGAAAACAGGATTGCCCCATATCTGCATGAGAGGAGCTTAACTTCCTCATCACAGTCACACACAGTGATGGTTAGGGTGTTCGTGCTGGTGAGGGGTGGGAGTCCACTGTCAGCAATTAGGATTGGCAAGGCAAAAAGGAACTGATCGCGATGATGGAAGCCATCTCTTGTGGTAACAATCCTGGCTGTGTTATCTACAAACAAAGCAAAAAGTAAGTTGCATATATCACTCATGGGTCTCATTAAATCCGATGCAGTAATCTAATAAGCCTGTTGCTATGATTTATGGAGCAGGACTCAGGTGGACTTGTTCAAGTGCACATCATTAGCCCTATGCTAAACATACAAGTTGCCACACTACCTTTTTGAGCACAGCTACAAACACCGACATTCTCACCCCCAAAAGGAGGCCTATAGTATAGGACCAGTGCACATTAATTACAACAAATTAACACAGTCAGAAGGCTTTTTAAAAAATTGTATATCCTGGATGGTACTGCTGGTGGTGATTCTGTTGAATTCCTGGTTGAGCTGACCTGGGCAGATGTCATGATCATTCCTGATCTCCCTCTCTGTGGTAGAGCTTGTATGTCTCTGTGGTATATCCTGGAAACAATACAAGAAACTGCTAGAGCAAAGATGAAAAAAGTAAGTCCTAGTGGATGAAATAGAGCCCTGATAAGTTCCTATTATCAGGTATAGTTTGAGGCAGCAAGGGCAGCTGAGAATGAAACAGCACCTCATTCCTTCTATTTAGCTTCTTCTTTGGCACCAACTGGCCCTCTTTAGGATCATCTGTTGCTTATTATTTGCTGGCCCAAGGTCATCTTAGACCTAGCTGAGGTTTGCAGTGATGTACAGTATTTGTTAGACCAGGATAATTCCAGGAAAAAATATCTTGTATCCATCAGGACATAGACTTCATCAGTTTTGTGACAGGTAAATGTGGTGCTAAGGAAACCTGTGGATTCTTTAGTATGGGTTTCCTTAGGGGTTTGTCTTGTCCCCCATGGTCTTCAACATCTACATGAAACCACTGAGTCATCCAGAGTTTTGGGGTACATTTCCATCAGTATACTAATTGCATTTTGTTTATTTATTTCTCATATTTGTATGATGCCTCATACCCAGGGGCTCCCTGGGTGGCTCACAGCACAACATACACACACACACACACAATGAAAACAAACAAACCATAAAACATGATAGAATTAAAATACAATACAAATACAACCACATAGAAACAGGAAGAAAACCACATAACCAATAACAACCAGTAAAATAATAAAACAATAAAGCAGCAGCAAACCAATAATCCAATCTAAAAACAGATCCTAAATAAAAAAAGTCTTAACTTGGCACTGAAAACAAGATAAAGTGGGTGCCAGTCACACCTCCCTTGGAAGAGAATTACAAAGGTGAGGTGCAATGACCAAGAAGGCCCCTTTTCTCTCCAATTTTCCCCTCACCGCATTTGAGGTGGGGGATGGTCACAAAGGAAGGCCTCCATTGTTGACCTAAGTGGTCTGGTAGGGAAATATGGAGACAGGTGTTCCTTTAGATATGTCCCAAGCCATTTAAGGCTTTATATGATAGTGTGAGCACTTTAAATTTGGCCTGGCCTATGACAGGCAGCCACAGCAATTGGCAGAGAACTGGCGTAATATGTTCTCTAGGACTGGTCCTAGTTAGTTACTGCTTTGTTTTGGATTAATTGGAGAGTCTGCATCTTCTTCAAAGAAAGCCCTGTGTAGACTGCATTACAATGATCCAGTCAAGAGATTACCAAGTAGTAAACAAGCTGGAAAAACTGATAGAAGGTGCTCCTGGCCACCAAGGCCACCTGAGAAACAAGTGAAAGCTCAGGATCCAAGAGCACCCCCAGGCTCTGAACCTTATCCTTTATGGGGAGCACAACCCTTTACAAGACTGGTTGAAAATTTCCCAGTTGGACAAATGGACTGCCCACCAACAGAACGTGCATCTTGTCTGGACTGAGCTTCACTTTGTTGGCCTTCCTCCAGTCAATTCCTGAGCCAAGCCATTGGTTCAGGACAGTCACTGCCTCCCCAGGGTTAGATGAAAATGAGAGGTATCGATGACATTTCAGCCCATACCTCCCTGCAATTCAAATAGACATCAGATTTTGACTATCTAGCTGAGGCTCTTTGGAATGAAAGGGAAGGAGGCTAAGGCACTCATACTGTGGTGGAACCTGTCTCTTCCCTTCTCATTCCTTTCAGTGCATCCTAAACTCCAACTCCTGTGTTGCTATTTTTCCAGCCTTGTAACAGGGTTTCAATAAATAAATAAAAATAAAAAAAGAAAAATTACAATGACCATCTAGATTGCAATGTAAGTCAGTCTCTCTCTCTCTCTCTTCATTTAAAAAGAAATGATTGTTCAACAATAGGATAAAGAGATAAAATGCTTGAAATAAAATGAAATAAGTTCACATATATGAATAAGTACTCCTATCCTGTATTGTATCCATTAATTTGAGTGTTTACTAGAAAAGCCATTCTCTCATGGAAAAGTAGTCGGATTTTTCAAATATCTAGCCAAGGCAATTCTACCTGCCATTAGCACATTCATAATGAAAGGCTTGGGTTTGGGTTTTGTTCCCATGGTGTCTGTGAGGAAGATGAGGTCAGGGACATGGCCTTCAAAATCCCAGCCCTGCAATCACAGAAACTCAGAACTGGAAGTCCTTCCAGATAATGTGAGCAAGCTGTAGGGTTGCAACCTTGCAGCATTAAACCTGGGTCTCTCCATTTAACATTTCGAGCCTTAGTTGTGTTTTTAGATTTAATCTTTTTATATAGTATGTTCATATTGTATTTGTCTGTGAATCAACCAGAGAAACTCTGATTTAGGTTGGCTTTATAAATAATATCTGAATAAATTATTCAGTCTGGTATGACATTGGTATTGATTTATGACTGATGCATTTTTTTAAAACTCAGGAATTCTAATGATATTCACTTAGAATTAAGTCCCACTAAACTCCATCTTGCTTATTTTCTCATAACTGTGTTTGCTGCATATTGGCTAACATTCAAACAAAGCAACTACATAAGAATAATTATGTAATAATTTTCCCTATATGGTATAAGAAATATCTTCGTAATTAAAATGGGCAAGAGGCTGCGAGATAAGGCCTTGCTTAAGGCCGTTCATTACTCTGGGCCAGATTATATAAGCATGGTGTCTGCACCAAGCAACTTTTTATTCAGAATACAGTGAACTTTCTAAAAGTTAGCTGTATTGATTTATTCACCTAGCCAGAACATTCATATAATTAGCAAAGTCAATATGAGCAATGTATACTTTAGTTGAATTTGAAACAGCTCTTCTTCCAAGTCTCAGAAGGCTGCCTTTAAGTGGTCTTCTTTCCTCCAATTTCATCAGCTGTTGAACTTAGGTTTTCCCTTCAGATTACTTTCGATTGGTGTCCCCCATATGATTCTTTCTCAGCCTCTGGGATCAATATGAATGCTGCACAACACAGCAGCACAGAAAGCCATTTATATGATGTCATCAGGATATTGAAGCAAACAGTGTAATGGGGCACAAGAAACCAAGTTAAATAATTGTAGACTATGCCATTGTCTTTAACTTTACTTTAGAAGATCTAAATAGAAGTATAAGCTTTTATTAATAGTAGATCTCAGTTTCATTTTCAAAAATGCCCTGCCTTTCCCTTTTCTAATATTACACAGTGTTTGGCAGTTTAACAGATAATGAGAAAGTTATTACTAATCCAACCTGCCATATTTAGAAAGCAATTACTAAAAGATGAAATAGGCTTTTGAGATTTTTTTCAATTGTTAGACTAATGTTACTGCAGAGCCATAAAAGAACAGTATCCACCAATTATGTGTAGCGCAGGAGTGTAAGAACTTAGTGTCCATCAAATTCAGTGCAATGTTTTGAACAGAAGGCACATGTCCAGAAAACCTATACCAAGAATATAATACAATAGGCCACCCTTGGTTCTCTGTCCTCAGCGTATGGTATGAGAAGTGTACTGTTTCTATACTTGCAGGTTCTAGATAGTTGTCATGGTTAATCTGTCAACAAAATCCATGCTCAATAAATGTATCTAACATTATGTGGGACAGGAGCAGTTGTATGGCCCATTTTTCCCAGTGAGGGTTGTATATCTTTTAGGATAATATGTAAGTGGTCTAATGCCAACAGTGGGCAGAACTGAACTAGCTTCTGTAATTTTTATCTTCCTCTATTGGTATCTCAGACATACTAAAACTAGTATAGTGTATAATGTGCTGGGGGCTTGTATATTGGTTTTTTTGGGCCTTTGTAATGCACGTGTAGGAATTTGTTCAGTAGAAGCGAAATCTGTAAAAATATAAAAATATATAATCTTGCTTTTGAGCTGAAATGAACATTTGAGCTCATTTCCTCACTTTAAGAAGTAGCTCTTCACAATCTTGTTTGGTAAATTTTCCTGCATTTTGCATGTGCTGTTGCATGTATATATGTGAAAATGGGGTTGTGTGGCAATAGCAGCTTATTGGTGAAGGTAATCTTTTAAATCATTGGATTCCAATCCATTAAGGGCTTTAAAGCAGGAGTGAACAACTTCAACCATTCAGGGAGATATTTTGACCCAATCCCCTAGCTGTAGTCCTTGTGTCTCTGTGCCATCAATATTGGGAGCAGCGAAAATAACATTTTGGATTTTTGTGCTGCTATGAATCTTGGTGGCATGTCATCGAGTGGTGGCAGAGGCGCCATATGGTCCATGAATCATTTGCTGCTCACTCCTATTTTCAAGGCTAGCACCAACAGTTTAATCTGGTAATCAGTACATAATTAGTGCTACACATTCTAATTTTCTGGAAGTATTCTACACCATATACGTTTTCCAACTCCTTACTTCCTTCAAAGGTAGTCCCATGTAAAGCACAAAGTAGTCCAGCTTGGAGACTGCATGGAGATCTGATCCAGTGTTCTTGGTTCCACTTTCCTGGAGAATGATGAATCCAAGAGTTTGCTTAGACTCCAAAACTTGTCCTTCAGAGAGCTTTGAAGTTCTCCTGTGTAAAGTGTCCCAACTCATAGTATATCTATGGTCTCTCTGAGTTTTCTTTCTGGTGAAAATGTTCTCCTCCCAACTATTTAATCCACAAGGAGTAAAAGACAGCTGGAAAAGGCATTTTCAGTGGGGGAAATTACAATACATTGGGGAAAACATCCCCCTCTTTTGCGTTCATCTTCCGAAGCAAAATCCAGCCGCTGCTTCTTCAAGCGGATGGCTAAGGACACTTCAAGAAAAACTACATTCAGCTTGGCATCACCTGTAAGTTGTTCTTCGGGTATCTAAAAAGTATTTCTTCTACAGACTTCAGCCTTTTCATGTAGAAAAGAATATTCAATTACTTGATTCCTACAACTGATATTTTCTTTTCCTGTTCCTTTCTGAACTGTACACAGAATTTCAAATGTTTTGCAATTAAGAATCCAGTTCCTCTTTGGTCTTTTCTTTCAATTTCTATTCCTTTTATGTCCTGTCTTTTATATTGTAAACCTTTGGGAAAGGCTGGCTTATTTCTGATCTTTGTAAGCAATGTTGCAGCCATTTTGACTGAGGAATGGAACATTTTAAAAAATAGCACAACCAACCAACTGACCAACCAACCAATAAATAAATATGATCATTGATATCTATAAAGGCATCATAATGCAGGCAACTTTTTTTCAACCCTTCAAAGAATTTACTGTTTCTACACAATAAGGTGACAATTTTAATATGTGTTGTCTACTTTTTTAATGCATACGATCATGTGATTTCTCTAGGCCAGATATGGGTAACAGGCAGCCAGTGTGGTCCATGAGTTACTACTTGGCATTAATACAGGCCTCCTGCATTTGCCAATTTTGCTGTTTTGAAGGTGGAAGAAAAAAATAGCAACACGGAAATAAAGCATGCAGAGACAGTCCTCTCTTTTGACATGTTGACTGAGGACCATACTCATTTTGAAGTTGTCCAAATGTTGGCTTTAAAGTTGTCCATCAGATTTTCCATCAACATTTAGTACCTGGCACACAAGTCATCTAGTCAGTTTCTCCATTATAGTGAGATATGACTTGACCATTTGACAACCACTGTTTGATTTATAGTTATTATTTCTAAATTGGCAGCCATACACATAAATTTACACATGCAGATATTATATAAATTGGTATCCTCTTTTAGAGAGGTCCGCCTGGCGCCGTCGTTATTTGTTTTTCGGCGCCAGGTGAAGACCTTTTTATTTAAGCAACATTTTAAATGCTAACACAATTGAATTTTATCTGGCCAGGGCGGCTTATTTTATAATGTGTGTTTTAAATTATGATTATTTTATATGGATATTTTAACTTATTGTTTTATCTAGTGTTGTAAGACGCCCCGAGGCTTCGGCGAATGGGGCGGCATAAAAATGTTTTAATAAATAAATAAATAAATAAATAAATTTTCTTTTGTGGTGGGGGGGGGCGGTGTTGACATATAAGTGGACACCTCCAGCTAAAAGGAAGCCATGTAATGTTCTCCCTATACCTTTCTCCAAACTGAACTCCCTCAAATGCCTGGGGAGTAATACAATATCATGTTACATTGCTCTCAAGGCATTATAGGAATCATTGTTGGCTGGAAGCTATGATGACAACCTAATGATGTAGGGTTTAATCATGCATGAGTCAAAGGCTTTTGTGTCCATGCATGTGTTCAAGAAAAGAAATCACTGGCATCTCATAAGGTTAAGTGACATCACCCACAAAAAATCAGGAAAATTTGTGTCCCTGAAGAAAACAGAAAATTATGGAATTTTATTTTACTTTTGGCACTGAGGAAGGTAATTTGGCTCAGCCATAATCTGAAGCTGGTATTTTTGCTATTGAACAAAACATAGTGGTTCTCAGATTTTTTACTCTGATGACACTGATGTATGCAGATGGTACAGAGAGAATTCTCACACAGATAATTCTTACCATTCTTACAAAGCACCTTTTCATTAAATAAGATTTCAAAAGTAACATGTCCGATTCTTACTTTGATGATCTTCTATAGCAAAACTGGAGTTGCTTGTGTACTCTTCTGGCAAATAGAATACAAAATGTTGGCCTTCCACTGGATTATCTTTATCCACTGCACTGATGGTCTGAATGGGCTAGAAGAAAGCATTGATAAACCATATGTTTAGCTCCAGATACTATTGGTTGCCTTTTAACACAAAGCACAATGCATGCAAGCCATTCTATTCAATTAAGAAGGTTACCATTTTACTTCTTGCCTCTGAAGGGCAGGAAATGTATTAGCTGCTACTACAAACATGCATCACTTAACACAATCCTGTTGGGCTTGTTGATTTTCTAATGTCCTACAATTATGCCACTTGATTTTCTATTGATTAGAAGGAGATAAGCACTAAAGTCTTGGCCTAATGCAAATAGGTTCTAAAATTGAAATGCAAAGGTTAAATAAAGTTTCCAAGAGCAAAAAAAAGCAAAAAATGGAGGGGATATATAAAGTATTCTGCCCTTCCTTTGTTCTCCAAGGTGAAAAGTATATCATTCTATATTTGAACACATCCTTCAATACAAAAACCTATTTCCTTCCAGCCTACAAACATCATAGGCATCACTCAAGTGATGTATTATAGTTGCCGTGACCGCAAGATTGTGACAAGTTCATGTGCTGAATTGTTGATTCTTTGAGATTGTAACAGATTGATTATGGGAACACTTGGTTGTGTTTTCGAAGAAACAAAATAGCCCACATTTCCAAACATGTCGAACCAGATTGTCATTTGTAGGAGGGAAAAAGTCAAAATTAGCATCTTTGCATTCAAAAATCATAGATTCTGTCATCTCAAAGGGAAACAATTCATGCTGCAGTTGTTGTAATGAGCAGTCATTCTGCTCACAAAGAGTAACTATTTGTTACCATTATTTGTTGATGCTTTTTGGAGAATCATATGTTATCAGTGACAACATGCTTTATCTTGCTATTTCAGTTAAACATTATCTTGCCATTTCAAAGCAATGCCAATTCATTTCTTTCATTAGAAGGGTAAGTCTTCTAAAGTACTCCTTAATGGCCAATTATTTGGGGTTTAAAAATCTAGTCTTGCCAAATACAGGGTCAGAGAAGTCCACAGACAGCCACAGATAGTACTTTCTGCTTATGGCACAAACATAGCTCAGTTCAATGAAGCTGTAGGCTAATGGAGCTTTTTAAGGAAATGCTTTTTAAAAAATCCTTGCAAATAGCCTGATTCTATCACCTTCTGTCTTGGTGCTCAGGATGAAGTGCAAGTTTCTGCATCTCCCCAACAAAAATGACTGATGTGGATGTAATGCTTCTGACAGCCCCGCTTATTGAACTAAACAAATAGAATTGCTAAAGCTCAACCTCTCACTTGGGCATTCAAATGAGTTTATACAATCTTCCTTGGATTCATTTTATCTTCACAAGCTACTGTGAGGTAGGTTAGGCTGAGAGTCAGTGACTGGCCCAAAGTCATCCAGTCAGCCCTATAGCCAAGTGGGCAACAGAGGCTGGTTTTCCAGACTTCCTGTACTATACTCTAACAACTGCTCCATGCTGGCCTGTTAGCAGATATAAAAATATAGACAGTCCTATCATGATTAGGGTATGCTACAGGTGTTAGTACTGAGCAATCCATTGACCTTATATGTGTTAATTCTAATATCACACTGTGTTCAATGGACTTTACTTACCCAGTACATGTGTTCAGGATTGCAAACTTAGGTTTGAAAATTTCATCGTATTTCTTTTCCAAGTAGGAAATATTGTACTATTTTTCTTCCTGTACCACTTGAGCACTAAACAATGCATTTTTCTATGGAAGCTTCTTTCCTTAATTGGCATGCTGAGTTACTTGCATATAGGCAGTTGGATCAGGATCATGATGATTCATGACTGTTTCAGCTTGAAATTCCAGATTCTATGTAGGAGGGTTTTTAAAAAAGTATTTCCTTTTTTATTTCAATTGAGACCTTTTTCCCAGCCTGATGAGGTACCTGAAGAGCCACAGTGGCCACTACTGTGGCTCCTCAGGGAGTGGCAAAAAGACTGAAGATTTTGCACCAAAGAAGAAAGGAGGAGGAGGAGGTGACAGATGTGGCAAGTGAAATGAGTGCTTTGGTGGGGCAAGGTGGCCCATTAATGAATGTAGGCAGGTGCATTGGGAGATGTAAGATCGATGTAGCCAACAGGCAGAAGTGGGCAGAGACAGATGCCACAGTGAAAATGGCAGGTGGCAGCATATGCATCTTCAGCCACAGTCAGCAGGAGAGCTTGCAGTGGTGCTGGTAGGAAATCAGGGTTGTTTTCACCCTCTCTTAGCTGGACCAGTTAGAAGTGAAAGCTCGAAGCTATCAAGACACGCCTATGTACTTTGTAGAACTTCAGTTAAAAATTGTATTTTGTATGTATATACAATGAGATTATTGATGATGATGATGATGAATATTGAGTTATTTCTGGCACAACTCTTCTGGAGTATCTCCATTTTGCTATCTCTCTCAAATGATCTTTAAAAAATTCTAAGTTGTTTCTGTCCCAGATATGAAAAGATTGGTGAATTTTGTTAAGTGATAACTTAAAGATCAACCAAACAAAATTCTTATCCATTCATACATTGGGCAAGACACAGTATAAATTTGAAAAACTACAAAATTATACTGTTTAGAAAACACAGCTTAAAATGCCTGCACACTTTGTGGCACAACAGAAGTAACATAGTAGGATATTGCTTTGAAAAACCTGCATCTGTTGGTTTACTGATTGTGCTGAAATCTAATTGACAAAAATTGTGTTATATCAAAGATCATTAATCTGAAAACCACAATAGTCTTCAAGACAATGAAGGAGACAGCTAACTGGGAGCTTGCCTGCTAATTGCTTACACAGAAAATGTGCTAGTACAGAAATTCAGTTTCTAGACCAAGGCCTTTCCTACCATTAGGCAGGGAGAGATGGTTGCTTCAGGTAGCATTATTTGTTTGTCTGAATCATTAGTTATTTGCAACCAGGGATGGAAGAAAAGTCTCCTGCAGGATTTTTTGTGTGCTTGTTTTGTTTTGCTTCAGGCACCAAAATAAATTTTATGCCTTGGCAAGAGCCCTGACTTGCTTTGGGATGGAGGATTGTTCTGCCCCTGTAATTGTAATTGCTAACCAGTTTACTTTATGTGAAGTACTGGGAAAATAAGTGTGTTTTTGCTATCTCTGACTTAAAGTGCAGAATGCGCATTCAACCACTTTATAATCTTATAGGTAAATGGTTGAGTAAATTGCTACATCAAAGTAAATCCATAGATAATCCTCAAATTACAGGTATTTGTGCCAGAACAAATATGTATTAGGGAGGGGAGAATTTATTCAGTATGGTACAGGTAAACTCACTGCCTTGTGTTCAGCAAAAACTTGAGTGTCATAAAAAATCTTGTGTCATATATTGTCTTTGATTTTTTTTGATATATTAAATCAAATATTTGCTTTTTGGAATTGCTGATCCAAAAGGGATCAGCAAATGTTTGTATCTGATTTTTATCTGGGAAGTAGTGGTTTGGAGTAGCAATTCCTCCAACATCCAAATATCCCCTCCCCCTTAGATTCCCCATACACATACCTTTCCCCAAGGAAAAATGATTATTTTATTTTCATGCAAGTGTTTTAAGCCAATCAAGATCAGCTGGGAATTTAATGAATACGGATGGCAAAATACTATGAGCCAAACAGATTGGGTTATTTGCTGGTGCTGGTAAGGGCAAATTAATTTTATTTGGACTGTGATTTAATGCTTACTATACAAATCATTCAAGTGCAATCCTAGACAAATGGGGATCACCGATAAACAGAGCTAAAGAAGAAAGAAAAACCACAATTTCCTCTTCCAAACAACAACAAAAGAAGAGGCAAATCAGTATGACATCCTTAAATCCTATTTTTGTGTGTGTGAAATGGACCCCCTCTAGCTCAGCCTTAGATGTAATGCACATCTGAAACTGTTTTGGTGTCTCAGTTTGCTTACTGTTCTAAAAACACATTTGAAGCAGAACATTTCAATCAACACCTGGTTGTCATGATTCTGACTGTGTCAGATTCATTCCTCTGTAGTACCTAAAATAAATTTGGTCCACCTTTATATTGTTTGATATACTTCTGACACTCTTGCACACTTGTCTGGAACAAAGCTCCACAGAAAGCAATTGGATTTATTTGCAAACTGCAAGCTTTTGATACATTTTAGTGACCTATCTACTTTTGAATTTTTTCAGATGTAACAAAGGAACAAATGGTAAAGGTACGAATACTATGATCAACTTATGATCCAAAGGGATATTTGAATAACTCCCTTCAGGGAAATGCATGCAGCACCCCATCTGAATACAAGAAAAAGAAGTGCCAATCAGTTTCCAGACTGTATGATTCTGAAGCATATTTTGTGATTGTGAGATTCTGAGAAATATTTTGAAAATTACAGCTGGTGTAGCTATCATTTTGTCTTCTCCATTACATATATGTTTTGCTTCAGAAAAATTCTAGTACAAATTTAGTACAGAAAAATTCTAGTACAAAGTGATAGCAGTAACCTCTTTTCTCCAAATATGGACCTACTGGATAGAGGAAGTCAAGATTAACTTAATGCATCTTTAAATCATTATTATCTCAGTTACACTCTAATGGCAAAGCTATTTGAATCTTGGAGAGCAAAAAAGTAGAGAGCAAAACATTCCTTCCAGGACTCCTTTCATCAAGACAGTTGGGTTAAACTGAGCCCATACACATTTCATTTCTGAATTTCAGGAGATAAACCTACATTGTAGCTTGTCTGGGACATTGCCACCTGCACAGCAGGTAAGTAGTGTTTCCAAATGTTAGTAACTTAATGCTTAGTTTTCTTTCTGTAGACAAAAAAACACCTGGGAGTAGGGATGCTGGAAAAATCTACAAAATATTCAGTGAGCTCAGATTTCAATAAATACAGTGGTACAGGTGCAGATTTAAATGTATATAGAGGGTTATCTTTATGAAAACCAAAGAATCCTTGGACTAATGAGTGTGTGTGTGTGTGGGGGGGGTGTCAAGAATGAGAGAGAGAGTGAAAAAGAGAGAGAAAGAGAGAGACCTTTAAACCTTTGATTTAGGGGATTGCTCTGCTTTATTGTACAGACCTTTTCAAAAATTGTAAATCACATTTTAGTATCCCAAGTGATACTGGTACTCAACTTGCATTAGAAAAATGCTCCCGCCACTATTTTATTGTTTGGATCACAGTAGGACATGAAAAGAATGCATCCAACTTTGCATCCTTTTCTTGTTGTTCAACCTTTAGAATCTGTCCTAAGAAGGACAGTTTCAGTTAGTGTTAGTTTTGCCACAGAGATTTCAATCTAGGTTGCATGAATATTAATTCAAATCTGTGCTGCACAAGACTTTAGGCAAGGCATTCTCACAACCCCCATCTTTCAAATGAGGATTTAGCAGCCTGTAAAATCTTTAAAATGACTACTTAATGCACCTATGGATTGTGTGGATAAATGGCAGTTATTTGACATACTAACTACTATATAAGTTTTTAAAAATAATCTATTAAAACGTGCTTGATAATTTTACCCAACTTTTACAGGTAGGTGTGGTAGCTGAAGATACATAATTGTGGAAATTCACACAAATGAGTATGCATGCATCTATAATTTTTATATCTGACAGGTATCAAAGGACTAGAGTTTATTTTATTGAGTTCCTTTCAGGCCCAGCCTGTTTAAAAGTGTTTTACAAAATATTAAATCTCATGTTTCTAATACACTGGACATGGCTTGCATAAGAGGAAGCTAGCTATTGTATAGTTCATGGGTTTGCAGAAGGTACAGAAATGGAATATATAAAAAAGAATAATGACAAGCTATTTAAATAATGGCTGATAAACATGATGGATGGAGTTAGGGAAAAATCAATCTTCTTTTACATTTCATTTTTATTACCAAGCAATGCCTTTGTATGATAGTCCAAAAACTTATATAAGGGAGAGATACATTTCCAAAGGATAAATCATGAAAGTTTACCAGAATCCAGTCAAAATAAACCCAGTAAGGATGCAATTATTTGCAGACATGGAATTTTGATAGATGAACAATAAATGAATTAATAAATGCTATTTTTGCGGGAGCATTTTCCCCTTAAAAATCAACTTTCTTCTACATCAGACAGAATAAATGAAGCCTTATCAGAGGTTTTCTTTTTACTATTAATATAGAAATAAAGAGAGGTATATGAAAACTCATGCCTAGTTCCTTTATTTACATGAAGAAGTAACATATTGTTAGAAGCATAGAATTAGTATTTCCACTCCATTATGGAATTAATCTTTACTGTGAATCATGCCTGCAAGTGAACATGCAAACATATAAGGGCCCAGTTTACATGATTTCCTCCCTTCAAAAATTTAGTGGGAGGATGCATAAAATGGGATTTTGTTTTGCCCTTTATGAGGCCCACTCTTACATTATTTAACAGCCAGCACCTAAAAGGGAAGCTGAGACAGTGAGTTACTATCCTATATAATCTATGCTTTTAAAAGGCAATGCTCTAGGCAGCCTCAAACTCAGTTTTATGGGCTAGAGATTGCCCATTTGGCAATGTGGTTACTTTGTGTGGTGACCATTTATTTGGAACACATTGTCATGGTTTCCTGTTATCCTGCAGGTCTTGCTTTCATGCTTGTACATTCTGTATTCAATGCATCAGCCTTCCCTAGCTTGTTCTCCAGATAGATTAGATTGCAAACTCCATTTTTTGCAGCCAATAGGACCATTGGTCATGCATTCTAGAAATGATGGGAAGACACCAGGCTGGGTAAGACTGCATTATATAATCACTGTACCTTCATTCTATTGGCTATGAGATGCTATCAATGAATCTGCAGAGGTCTGAGGACGTTTGAAAGATCTTATCTCATCCTCCTTCATATTCAAGCTACAAACAAAGTTGCTAAAAAAGAGTATTCTAAAATTAACCACTATAGGTTATTAGTTACACGGCTAGCATTTAGTTCAAATTTGCTTTTAAATTTGATCTAGCTGTGTACGATGTCTAGATGCAGTTCCTGAGTGAGTAGTAGCTGTATATAGATCTATTGGAATCTAAGAGCAGAGGACTTAAGGCAACTTGAACAACTCCCATATATGCTGATGGCTTCTGAGCTAGCATTGCCTGACCAAGAAAGAGAGCATAGGGTTTTGGTGGATTGTTCTATGAAAATGTCAGCCTACCTACCAGTACATTTATAATTATAAATCCCAATTAGAAAAAAGCAACTACCAATGCCATGCTGCCCTCATACAGCTCTATGGTGCAAATATTTTTGGAATATGGGTACAATTCTCATCAGTGCATTTAAAAAGGATACTGGGCAGTTGGAAAAAGTTCAGAAAAGGGCCACTAAAATGATCAAGGGAGTAAAGCAACATCCTTATAACAAAAGCTTAAACCTCCTGGGACTATTTAGCTTAGAAAAGAGACAAGTAAAGAAGGTGTACAAAATAATGTATGGCAAGGAGAAGATGGAAAATACATTTTTCACCCTTTCTCATAATATGACAGCCTTCAGTCATTCCATGAAGGCTCTCAGTGGTACTAGTTCTGATATCTATATGGTACCTCACTTTCAAAGGCCTACATGGGGGAACATGGCAGAAGGGTATCATCATGTGTTTATCCTGTTAGTGGATTTGCCATGAGCAAATCATTGGCAACTGTGTAAAAAAGAATGCTAAACTAGATGGAACCTTGGTCTGATCGAGCACAGCTCTTCTTATATTCTGAACTTGCGTAGACATATGTCAGTGATTAAATACAGTCTGCTCCAGCTAATGAGTGGTCAGAATTTTGTCGGATTCATCTATAGCATTCATAATGGAAGGCAGTGATGATAGATACATAGAAACTTCTTGTCAACTTCTTGTCAAAAAGTTTTGACATTTATTTCTTTCTCACACCTGATGATTGTCAAATATACCTTTGTACCCTGGCAATTTAACTACAAGAAAGTTAGTATTGTGCTGTAGTAGAGAAGGAAATGCAAGAGAAACCAAATACTGACATGGAGAAACAAAAAGACTGCAACTTTTATTAATAGCATGAACAAGCATTACAGGAGTTTGGTACTCAGAGGGCAGGAAATGAGGCTGATAGCACTCGGCAGAAGATGAAAAGCAATAGAGATCAAGTGCCTTTGAAATGGTGGTGGTGGTGTTTTGTGGTTTGGTTTGGTTTGGTTTGGTTTTGGCAGTTTCCTCAGTCCCATTGCTTCTTTAGATCGGGCCTGTTTTTAGGTGAAGAAAGAAAATCAGCTTCCTTTTTAGGTGTTGGCTGTTATATTATGCCTGATATAAAAGTTACTGTGAGAATAGGGAAGACTAAAACACTGGCCATGGGTAATACAGTTTCATATAAAGGACTGCTAAGCAGAAGGTGGAAACAGCAACATCTTATGTTAATTACAGTTTCTCTTTTTCCTGGCCATCCATAGTGAGCTATTGATAATGAAAAAAGAAAAAAGAAAAAGTGGATAGGAACCTCAACAAGACTAAGATCAAAGCAAGGCCTCATTCTCAGTCTACCTCTTAGGGTAAACTAGAATCCATCTCTTATGGTAGATTGTACTGCACCTATGACTGACCACTATAATCAGCTATGTCTGAGATACCTGTCTGAATAAGGAAATCCAGCAAGATTTTGTACAACAAAGAAAGATGAGCATTGTCAATCTCAGCAGAGAGAAAGCAAGTACAATGACAGTTTATCATCATCATCCATTTATTTATTTATTCTTACCTGTCCCGCTCTTGCATTCTCACAAACATATGTCTCGTAGTATTCAGCAAATTCAGGTGCATATTCATTAATATCTAGAACTTGGATATAAACATTCGCTTCAGATGTCTGATGTGAGTTAACTGAATCAAAGGGAACAAGAATAAGTGCAGTGAAAAGAAAAATCAATAGCTCATACTAAATTGTTGTAACATTATATTTTAATATATGATTTTGGCATTAAAGTGCTTTTTCAGTTATAGCAGCTGCTTATTTTTAAACAAAAACTAAAACAAGCATTGCTCTTCTAAAGAATAAGCTGTGCTTTTGAATTTAATAAGTACCACATACATAATTATAATACACGTTAGAGTATGTTATAAAATTATAATGAAAGTAACAATATAACAATTTGTATAGTATTGTGTATTTTGCTTCTATACAGAGTTATCGATAGCAGCAAGCACAGAAGATTTCTGAACTGCATGTGAATAACTCAGAACAATATAGACTGGTTTATTCAAGCACTTTTCTCATTTGATGATTGTCATCATTGCCATCATTGATTAAATACTGCAATTAAATACTGTCCAAACTCCTTAAATGACCTCAGACACAAGATTGTTCATTGGATTTTGCAAGTCATTGTACTGGGTACTCAAGAAATGAGAATAATTAAGCGATTAAAATGGTGGCTGGTGGGGGGACACACACAACTGAAAACCAGAAGGAAAGGAATGGCAAATCAAGCTTCTCTGAAAGTTATGAAAAATATTATTTCTCAAATTCTTTGAAAGGATGACTCTTCTGCTTTAGACAGTATGGGAAACAGTACATTTCCCATCACTTTTATCAGCATAACTATCAAGGTTATTTGAGAATTTACTTTCAATGCACAAAAATATATACAAAGCCCTACTCTTTGTTCTTACATGCATAAGTGGATTATAGTATAATCCTATGGATGTATATTGATAAGGAGGATATATCTGAGTTGGTCCCTTGCCAATGATGCCTATTTGCTGCTAGGTATGCATAGGATTACTGTCATAAACTCAAAATTTTCTTCATTGGCTTTCTTCACTGTTTATCTTAATTTTTTGTGGGGGCTAGTTATTCTTCAGAAAAGATTCAACATATCAATATTTCTGGAAAGCAGAGAATATTTTATTCTTTTTTTTCTTAAGGTACAGAGATTAAAGGGTCTTCCAAAGTGAGATTTAACTTCCGGCTACACTGATATGGTTCATTCTGCCAATGGAAATCTGTATTCATAAATACAATAATGTCACAAATTCACTCTTCGATTAAACACATACTTTCAGGTATCCACACAGTGTTAATGTGGGTATGATTTTGAAATCCTGCATGTATACTTGCAGTATACATATGTATGTTGTCACATATATATATTTTATGTGAAGCCAGTGACTTCTTTTGTCATCCCTGCTGTGCCCAAAATGCTACCACTGCCCAATTGTGCCACTTTGTGCCACTTTCAATAGGCATTTTTATTGTTGATTGGAAAATTTTTATTTTTGTGTTTTATTCTATTTTGTCTTACTGTTAAACCATCCCAAGACCACAGGAAGGGACAGTCTAAAAAAGTTTTAAATAAATAAATATGGTAACGGAAGTGGCCAAAAAGCTCCATTTGCCCTTAGTTTCAATGAAAAAACATGTTCTTTCAGTAGTGCGATTCACCTTTGTAAAAGGAGCACATTCACCATGCACTTTGTTTTAAAAAGAAAATGCTGCTTTTTGCCACCACTGCTACAGTGCCAAAACTTGACAGAAATTTCATGGCACTGCTGGATGTTGAGATTGAAAGTGGCTGCTAAATACTGTAAAGTTTTTCAGTCCTGCTGTAAAGAGCTACTTGGTATCCAAATTCTACCCATTCTGTCAAAAAGTGTTTAAAATGTTATAGCTGATTTTGATGTCCCATTATAATTAACATGAAGCCATGAAGCTTTCCATATGCATTCTTTATTCCAGGACAAACAGCCTGTGCAGTATGCTTCCTTCACAGGAGGAACCTTTACAAGGATTATAGCCAGAAATCAAAGCCTTTTAAAGAGATTCTGAAGAGATCGGAGATAACCACTCCGAGAATTTGTAGGCATTGAATAGGTAAGTGATATGTAAACAGATGATTTCGAATTCTGGAAACTATTAGTAACACTGTATTAATGAAGGGTGTTCTATTGTTCTATATTTTTAACAGAAAATCCATGAAAGCAGACATGCTTTCGAAAACTCACATGATATATTGAACTGTAACATGGCAGAGGAGAAAGAAAAGTATACTGTTTTTAGTTAAATTGACCTCTGTTTATGAACTTTTGGGATTCTGTAAAATGATGTTCCATTCTGGAAGCAATTTTTCTTTTGTTAGGATTTGATTTTTGGGTTCATTATCCTCTACAAAAAAGCCCACAGCTCATCTTTTTGAAGAAGCAATTTCAAATTATCTGAAATTGTTCTCTTGTGATTATCATTTACACTTTTTACTTTTGGGAACTAAGATTTTGGTACATACTGTTTAAGATTCACATCTAAACTTTTTATTTTTAATTTTTTTGGAAGCACATCAGAGAGGCAAGGTGACCTGTATAAGTGAGAGCACAAATGAGGCAATTTGCATTTGATTTTGGGACAAAACTGACAGGTAAGATCTATATAAGGGGTGCTTTTCAAGTTTAATTGCTACTGTATAGAGGTCTAGCTGATTTAGGCCCTGCTTTCATAATTAATTTGAGGCACAGGTTTCTGACTGGCATTAAATTAAACCCTGGCTAATTTCATACCCATCAGAAACCTGCGGTGAAATTAACCAGAGTCTAATTTAACATAAGATCTTGTACCAGGAGAGCAATTCTATATGCTTCACTGTAGTTTAAAATGTTATAATTTCCATTATATTACAATTCTTGCTTCTGCTGCTTCTTTAAAGGAAATAGTACAAGACTTAGGAGTTCGGAAATTATTTAGCTTCCATCAGACTTATCATTTTATTAGGATACACAGAGTAAGAAGGAAGGGTGATATAATGAGAATGTACCATATATTCTCAATTGAAAAAGAAGGCGCCTTCTGAAGATAATTGCAATGAATATATATTGTTAAATGCCCTATCTCATGCGCTGGGTTCCTTAAAGTTTTACTCACTTGTTTCTGTGGCTATAACAGTGAGGTTGTGCCAAGCTGCTGTCTCTCGGTCCAGAGGTCCAGTTGTACTGATGGTTCCATTGTGTTCATTGATGCTGAACAATTCTGTTAAATCCTTGTGGGGGACAATAGAATACCTGCATTCCAAATTGGGGGAAAAACAACAACCTCAAAATGTTCCTTATGAAAAAAAGACATATAAATGATTGTCAGTCAAGAAAGAACTATGTAGATATGCATATGGATGTGTGCTGCAGGTATTCAGAAATCATGAAAAATGTTCACTGATAAACATTTAAAATTCACTGCTGCCAAGATCAAAGCACTTCTTTATATAAAACTAAATATGCATTAGACCTATATTAATGTGAACCAAATCTAAAATCCATTATTCATTCATATTGTGCAGATGGGCTCATGGCAGGTGAATGACTCAATTCAAAAGAAACAGCCAAGTGCCACTTGTGAAATAACTCACACTGGCAACAAAGTCAGGATAGAACAGTAAATTTATTTCATTGTGGCTGGCTTGATACAATGTCAAAGAAGCAACACAAGAAGAGAGAGAAAAGAATGCCTATTTCATAATATGTCCTCCACTTCCATCAAGTATAAAGAAGAAAATGACGGTGCCATATAGGAAGGTGGGGGAACAGTTGGTTTACTTCTCGCAAACTGCTTTTTAAGCTATCAAAGGATTGTCTAAGGCAATCCTTCCTTCCTTCCTTCCTTCCTTCCTTCCTTCCTTCCTTCCTTCCTTCCTTCATCAGGTAACTGATAGATCTCAGGCCAAACTTGAATATATGAGCAATGTGAGAGTTTTTTTCTGTGTGTTTGAGAGTTAAATAGGCAAAGCTCAAGGAAAAGCACATCCCACCACTCAAGCTGCTCTGCATTTTGGATCTGTGCTCCTTGGTCAAAATAAAGACCTGGGATTTCATACCACATCCATTTCTCTCTATAGGCAAGGATCTCTCTGCCTGGTGTCCTTCAGAGCATTCTCAATTCTTAGATGCATTAGCATGGACTGATGAGACATTTGGAAACTTGCAAACATCTGGTTACCATCAGGTTGGGGAAGTTTTCTCCTGCTGCAGGATTTTACTTTCACCAAGAGATTGTGTAATATTTTGTAAATGCATGTGTCACTTTTTGTCCAACTAGGACAGGGGTCCTCAACCTTTTCACCGGGGGGCCAGTTGAAAGCTGCTGGTGCTGGGCCGGAAAGGTGGTGCCTGGTCATGTGTGCAGGGCGAGGGGGTGGGGGCAGTGCGTGTGGGTGCGTGTGCTGAGGCGGGGGTGGGGGCAGGTCGTGTGGGGAGGGGAGGAGAGGGGAGATGGGGCGGGCACGTGCCATGAGGGGGGGTACACGGTGCAGCAGCTTAATCGCTTGGAGATAATTTTCTCTGAGCGAGCAAACTGCTACCTCCCACACATGGGGCGAGTTGAGCGGTGGCTGGCACGTGTGTGGGTGCACACGAGGTGGATCCAAATGGGCATGGTGGGCTGGATAAATGGGCCTGGCAGGCTGGCTCCGACCACTAGGCCATAGTTTGAGGACCCATGAACTAGGACTTCATACAACTACAATTTAAAACAATACAAGATTGTAATTCTATGGATGTTTAGGCAGAAAAAAGGCTTACAATAGTTGTAGGCATTTTTCTGTCCAAACATCTGCATAATTGCCTCCGTAGAAGCTCCCCACACAAACACCATATAAAACAATTTGTAAATGTTAACATTTAAAATCATTCAAGGGGTTACAAGATCACTGTGGCAAATAATAGCAGCCTATGGATTTCTTATAACAATTTGCTTAAAAAGAATTACAATGCTTTCCTAAAATATTCCAGCAAAAATATTCCATAGCTATTTCAGCAATGGGTACTATGTTTAATCATATCTTGAAACTAAATATATTCATATCTTTGTTTCTTTCTTTTCCTTATCCTAAGGATTTTCCTTGAAGTTACTAAGACTCTGGCTAATATCTTGCATGGAGTAAACACAAGGTGATAGGTGAGTAATACATATTAAGAAACATAAAAAAGAAATAGATGACAATGTAGAGAACCCTTAGCGATGTGTTACCGGAGAACACTGTTCAATTCTGAAATTAAAATATTCCAATTGGATGTATTCCCAAAATCCATTACAATTCTGTTATTTCTTGCCTTCATAACTCAATGAATCATACAAACTCTATTTGTCCTTTTGAAACCCAAGAAAAAAATAGAAAGAAATTGTATTTCACCTGTCTGTTTACAACAATGACAGGAAAAAGAGGGGACTTTGAGTCACGAAAGACAGAGATGCCTTAATTTGGCCCTACAAACAAAGGCAGTATGCTTAATGAAAGTAAGATGCCCGTCTTGTTCCTAAGATGGGTTGAAGAAGCTTGTCAAACCACTTTCAGTCTGACAACCAAATTCAATTTAAAAGAGGATTTTGGGACCTGCATGTCAATGGGAAAGAGGGGTAAGAGGCATGGAGGCCAGCCTATTTTGGATTAAGGTATAACTGCTAGTCACTAAGCCTTCTAACTTTTAGGACAGGAAAACACACACACATACTGGGAAGCAACCAATGATAAGAGAAACACCTCTTTCTTTTCCAACCTTCTCTTTGCTTGTCAATATCCTTATGCTTATATTACACAGTCAGAGTGAACACTCCATCCCAATACTAAGTATGAAGTTCTGTATATCCATTGAATAAGTCTTTGTATAGAGAGTTTAGATATGCATGCAGCACTTTCCCTGAACCCCTATTGCAAAGGCTTTACCATTCTAAACATAAATGTAAACATGGAGATAACTTCCTCTACTGAAATAATGCAGGAGCTCTGTGTACCTGTCAGAGCATACATGCAGATCTGGATTGAGAATATATACTTCAATAGTCCTCAGGAAACTATTGGAACTATAAGTTCCAATCTTTTCTTCTGGAGTTTACCTTATTGAACTGTTGACAGTATCTGGATCTCTGGCACTCACAATTCCCACAATTGAACCGTTCATCTCTTCTTCAGCAATCTCCATCAAGAATTCTTCTGATATGAAAACTGGCGGTTCATCAACATCCACCACTCTGATCCTAAGGAGAGCTGTGTCTTCAAATTTAGTGTCTTCTTTCAGGAAACGCTTATCTATGTATCTGTTGGAGCCTTTCACCTTCATATCATATATCCTTTGGCTCTCATAATCTACTTGCTTTAAAAAATAAATATGGAAAAAGTGGAATATTTGTTGTTGTTCAGCATTTAGACATTAATAAGAGCTCAATGAAGAATGTAAAATGGAAGAATACTGATGTTTTTTGAAAATATTTTGAAAGTAAGTACTTCTGGAATGAAGGTATGTGGGGCGAGTACCAAAGTGGACGATAAAATCAACAATTTCTTCAACAAGCATAGAATATGGCTCTAATGGGCTAACAAAGTAGCTTGTGAAGAGGGTGGAACTGACAGGGATATATACAATGGGAATACATAGTGGGAATGTAGACTTGTGAAAGACTATTGATTAATTTTTTTAAAAAAAACCCTGTAATCCCTTTTATGCAAATTCAAGATCTAAAAATGAAAATAAGTACAAAGAACAAAATTCTGTTCATGCGTATTTGCCCAATGTATGCAAACAACAGGAACAATTACAGGACTGGAAGGTGGATTGGGAAAGCTGGTATAATCTGCTGCCGTTTATCAAAGTGGGACCATTGTGGAATTCTGCTTCTGATTCCCAGTATTGCACATCCCTAAAAGTGTGTGATACCAAATATATTATAAGCCCAATATATAATTGGGATGAATTTCAGTTGTTGCAGCTTGATGATGTGGACAACATGCTTGGACAAGTATGCCCTACCACCTGCTTACTAGACCCAAGCCCATCTTGGCTACTTAAGAAAGCCAAGGACGGGATTGGGACCTGGATCCTGGAGGTGGTCAACGCCTCTTTAAGAGACGGCTGGGTACCTGCCCCTTTAAAGGAGGCGGTAGTCCAGCCAGTCCTAAAGAAGGCATCCCTGGATCCAGAGGTGGCCGCCAATTATAGACCGGTGGCCAACATCCCGTTCCTGGGCAAGGTGCTAGAGCGGGTGGTGGCGGGACAACTCCAAGCACTCTTGGATGAAACTGAGTATCTGGACCCATTTCAGTCTGGCTTCAGACCCGGGTACAGTACTGAATCTGCCTTGGTCACCCTGTACGATGACCTGTGCAGGAAGAGAGACAGGGGAGTGCATCCCTGTTGATTCTCCTGGACCTCCTTATTCCTCCATACTTTTTCAATTTGGCTTATTTTCCTCACCCTCCATGCTATGTATGTTTCTTTAAGCAAATATGCATGTAGTGCTAAACATGTAACCAACATCAGGTCTAACTGGGCCCTGAGAAGGAGTAATGTTCCTGACATGCAGAGTTACCTGGCTCAGAATATGCATGTATATAGTACCTTGTGATGCTCAGTTGTATTACCAATTCAATGTCATTTTCCTAAGAATAAGTACACCAGCACAGAACATGAAACAAGATTCTTCATATTTGTGATAGGTGAATTTTCAAAAGGCCTTCAAAGTTTTGTCTACTTTTCATGCAAATCCAGGACACTAATCACTTCTTAGACAGGGATGTATGAAAGCCCCTCAGGATTATTTCAAATTGAGCCAAGTGGAGTCCTTTATTCTACTGAGCAGTAACTCTCTACATGCAAAGTTAACTACAGAACTACAGTGGCCTTACTTTTCAGACAGCATCAGTCACCACTTGGCATCTCAAAGAGATTATGCCAAGTATTACTCCATTCCTATTCACTGATTTGTGGAGTAAGTAAAGAATCTTTTCAGTTTTAACTGGGCTACTCTGTTTCCAATGAATGATAATGCTGCACTAGAGCTTATATAAAGTATAACACACATTTTACTACTAGTATAATGCTATAAACTTTATAATACTGTAGACAGTAATGGTGTCTATTTGCATGTGTGTATAGGATGGGTCTGAATGCTGCGAATGCGCTAGTGATGAGCATGGATGCAACATGCACTATTTCCATCTTCCTGCTGGACCCTGAGCAGTGTTGAGGCTGAACAGCAGCTTCCAACACAATGCTCTCAAGTGTAGAACTTAATTTTTCATCTGTAAGCCTATAAATAAATATTGTTCAATCCTATGCAAGAAAAAGTAGTGCATATAGGAGTGGGAAAATTTTCTTCCTGCTTCTGCAAAGCCAAGGGAACAGGTAAAATCTTCTCTTTTATTCCCAACATCTGGATTATGCTCAGAGAAGACAGAATCTGAAAAGTCTGGATTCTGAAAATGTGGACCATGGTTTGTGCCTTGATCATTCCTGTTCCTCTTTTCCTCTATTTCAATGCATTCTGTGATACTTGTTAACATGTGGCACCTCACCTGGTTCAGTATGACCATTCCTTCTTGAGTCTCATCATTAGTAATGATCTGCACGATTTGAGAGGTATCTCCTTCTATTACAAAATCCATGGCGGCATTCTTTCCTATATCACTGTCATCGGCCATGATTTTGCCAAGGATGGTGCCCACAGCAGCTCCCTCAGATACGTACATTTCATAGCGCCCTTAAAGGAACAGTAAAGTATCACTACAAGCTGCCAATGAGGCTTGGGACATGTGCATGACAGCAAATAAATATAAATCTCTATACTGTCTGAAAAACATTGAGTTATATAAAAATATAGTTCATAAATGTTTTAGTTTATATTACAACCTCCTATTTATTTGTAAATCTTCAAAATCTTACCATGACCATCAATAAATCTAAAAAGTATCTCCTAAGTATTCTATACATTCTCTTGTTTTCTTCTGCACAAATGGAAACATTTAATAGCCTATTCGATATTCCATTTGTTCATAAGTTTGTTTTCTTACTTGTAATGCAATGATTTCATTGAAAATGAAATATTAAAATGATGCTTTCTATGTACATTTGGAACATATCTCTCCTTGTTCAAATACTAGACTGAGGCACACAATCAATGTTAAAAGGCAGAGAGGGGAAAATGTGAAATCATGCCTGAAGTATATAAATGAAAGATTGAGATTTCAGCTTTATTACGTACATGGGAGACAAGAGATATATATGATGCACTGCATGTGATACCTGCCCCACTATATTTCATTAACTAATCCTAAACATTTCCTGAAGACTGGGCTGAGTGGATGAGGGTAAGCAATCTAAATCTAAATCCAAATGTGGCAGAAGATATACTTGTTTTCAAGTAGCATATTGACCAGTATGTGATATAGAAATATCTCCATCTGCAAAGGTTTAGTATCTAGAAGTGCTTCTGGTCATGTCCTGTTCTTGACTAAGCAATTAGTGGTGGTTCCTACCCATATATAAAACAGCAAAGTTTTTCCTCCAAGCCTTAGTGTGAAAGATGCATAGATACACATTGACCACACTAAAATGGGTGGGGTGCTTAGGGTGGCTGTCTTATTAAAAATAGAGCAAGAGTTTGCATACCCATCCAACAACTTGTAGGACATGCTTAGCCACTTGCCAGTAGAACATGTAGGAATCAATGTTGGTGTACACATTGAATGTGTGTGCTCATGCAGAGCTAACCATCATCGTATATACATCTTCGTATAGAAGTATTAAGTAAAACAAAACAATTAGATCAATCCTGGTATTGCTACCTACATCAGGTTTATGTTGGGGTTGATTCCATTTGTATAACCTCAAGTTATACATATTGGCTGACTTCACTTGCATAGCACAGAACCCTGCATGGTTTCCATAGCTCACATTTTTTGCCTCAACCTACCTATCAGATGGTCATGTAGTTTCCATGTAAACATGGAACAGTTCCAAGCTCCCTGTTCTCCTGCTCTTATCACCCATCCTCACAGCCCCTGTGAGCAAAATCTCCTTCTGTATTGTATTGTTCCCTCAGCTGTCTCTTCCTGATTGGTCTTCTGAGATTTTGGGAAAGCTTCTTCTCCTTTTGCTTCCTGATTGTATATCCATCTCCTTAAACCTTCCTAGCCAATCTAGTCAAATAAGAGATGGTGTTTGTTTGGCTGCTTGTTTGTTTAAATAAACAGATTTGCTGTGATTCCCCCTTCTATCTCCATGTATTTAAGGAAAGTTAACAGGGTGACAGGCACAGTGCTTAGCCATTAAGAGCAATGCAATTGTTGATGTGCGTTGCTAGGAAGCTGTAGCTAGTGGAAATCAGATGCCTGCAGTGGGTTTTCCTGTTGCTACTCTTTTCACAGGACTCCATGGGGTTTTTTTCACCACAAATAGAATGATGAAATAATAATTCACCATTATTGAATCAATAATGGAGCTCCTGAGTTCACAAGAAGCTGAGAGATGTGAAATGTGGAACAGATGAGATGTGGGAATCTGTACAACAGACTGTTCTTTCTCCCTGTGGTTTCCAGAAACCAAATATACTGTGCTGAAATTTCACAACTGGGTTCAGATGCAACGAAAGACCAACAAAATTTAAAAACTACCATGGCTTCTTGTCATGCACAACACTGGGCTGGATCTAGGATCAGTATTCCATGAGAAGTGACTTTCTGGAAGAAGAAAGGTTCCAGTCATGGAAGGTCCCTCCACTCAGTTTTAGGGATCCCACACAAACACCACAACTCACCCCACTGCATAGCATTTCAGGAACTGCCATGGGAAGGAAGGAGGAAAGGAAGGAAGCCCGTGTCTGCCACTGTGGCTGACTGAACTTAAATCTGGATCAAACCAAAGATACGCAGGGTGAGCATTACTTGTATGAGCCACCTGAGTTCCTTCTACAGTCTATTCAAACATTATGAGCTATTCTTTCACCAATTTGTTTCTAATGAAATCTATCTTTCTTTTATAATACAATATTAAATATTATTCGTGCAGTGTGTGTACCTGTGTATTGCTTGGGCAACCCTCAGGCAGGATGCAATTAATAGAACTCCTCTCCCCAATATCTTTCTACTATTTCTTGCTTGCTCTATATACTTTTGAAATAATGGGGAATTAATATTTTATCCTTCCAGTGCATCTCCCTAGCTCAGGGCAGAAGAATTACCCAATGGAATTGCAAAATCCACCTATAAGTACAAAAACCTAAGCCTATACCATTAAATATGAGAATAGGTGGTGCAGGTAAAAGCAATGTAGAAATGATAGCATCATGTAAACATGTGCATGTTGAACAAAATATATACTTTCACATTTTGTCAAATAGGGAAAGTATGTATTTAGGTGCACACTTAATAATAAAAGCTTACTTGAGTGCCCACAGATTTTATTTGAAATACAACAAAACAGTTCGTATATGTGAATAGGAATGAGGCAGTCTGAGCTCTGAGGTGAAATTTAGAGAATCTCTGAACTTGAGCCTCACTCATTTGTCCATCAGTCTGTGTATTAAGGAAGTTCCATGAATGATTCTGGAAATGTCTTAGGTTATAAAAATCAGGACTATTGGCTTTCACCATTACACTGCATCAACAGGAAGTATGGACTGCAAATTACATTCATCACTACCATGCAGATATGCATTGCAGGGGAAGCTAGGTAATTATGGACACTCAGGTGAACTTATGCACCATGACTGCTCTTCATATTTAAAAAAAAAATCCCTGATTAGCTTTCTGGAAACCCTTCTGGAACATCTTTAAAACTTCTGCTATAAATCATACTACTCTGTTGTTAAGCGGCCAAGGTGTACCTTGCTTTTTCATTCTGAGCTAAAGTCTGCTAGATTGCAGTAAGATCCATTGCTCCCTGAGTTACTCAGTATATTTATCACTTAATTAGTTGGTTCTCAGAGGATTTGTGTCCTTAGTGAAACCTAATTTTATTATTGCTGGTATATCAACAGTAATAAAGAAAAAGTAGGCTGCTATCCCCAAGAGAAAGAAAAATGTATTAGAATCTCCAGGTAAGGGTCTTTTTTATTTTTTTGAATTCCAGAATTATAGACTGTGGCAGGACTAAGCAAGAATTCAAGGGAACAAGTTTCTCTCCCTTCCTCAAAATGCTTCCCTGTTCAGTGATGTAGGGTCCTCAGCTTGGGGGTGCTCCTGGACCCAGAACTATAATAGAGGTTCAGGTGGTCTCAGTGGCCAGGGGCACCAGCCTTTAGCTGCAATGAATATATCAACCTTGCCCCTACCTGGATAGACAGAGCCTATCCACAGTCACCCATGCACTGGTAACATCAAGTTTAGATTACTGCAATGCACTCTACGTGGTGTAGTCTTTGAAGATGGTCCAGCAAACTCAACTGGTCCAAAATTGGACTGCATGGTTAATAGCAGGTGCCAGTGCATGGGCCCACATAATGCCAATCTGTACTGAATGCATTGATTGCCAGTTGCATCCTAGGCTCAATTTAAAGTGCTTGTTTTGACATATTAAGCCCTAATAGCTTAGGACCTGGTTACCTAAAGGACTGTCTGCTCCTTTATGTATCTACCCATTCATTAAGATCTGGGCAGGAGGTCCTTCTGAAAGAGCCATCTCTTAAGAATTTGAAAGAACCTTCTCAGTGGCTGTCCCCCAAGTATGGAATAGGCTTCCCAAAAAAATATGGCTGGTGCCTATGTTGCTTAACTGGCTCCATGGTGCTATTAAATAAGTGAAGGGTACCAAAGCAGCAGTAAAGAGAGAAACCAACTGCTGCCAGAAAAAAAATGCATAACCTCTGTTAAAATGAAGAGGCATTCAGAAAACAAAAACCTCTTCTCTTGGCACTCCAAACATTTTCACAAGGAACTAGTTGGTACACCTGTTTAAGGGCAAGGTCCTATAAACGAACAAGTAGGAAGTTGAAGGACTTTTTCTGTCTGAATACATAATACGATTGCATTCTGAAGTGGTTCTATCTGTGATGGACATGAGCTGATAAGGGAGCCTGGACTACCTAGTCTCTTTATAGGTTGCTTACTTGTTCATTGTGCTCTATTATCTATTTATACTTAGGTATCCCGCTTGATGTAGGCATGCTTGCAGTGAGTCATTCCACCCTTCTAAAGGAACATCTGTGCTTTACCCATTTCCAGTGTCTACATCTGCAGTGATCTTTCTGCAAAGAACCTAGGGAATTGTAGTAGTGCCAAAATGATGTGTCGAGCTTTCTTGTAGGATCTAACAGGATGAGACAAACTAGTTAAACAATGTAATATAGACACAAGCAGTGCACGTCTTCTTTTCATGTCAATTGACTTTCTATGAAGGAAAAGAGAGAAAAGAAAGCATCTGAAGTGTAAGCTTAAGCTTGCTTAGACATGTCATGGCATGCTGATAGTGGTAGGGTAAGAGCTGTCTAAACATGTTCAGGATTGCACCTTTAATGAAGTATATAAAGTATAAAACTCTGTAAATTAATTGCTGTTTTTCAGACATAGGTTACACAGCATATAATATTTATTTCTTAAATCTATTAAGTTGTACAAAAAGAGACTTTTCCCACATTTGTTTTGAACCTGAAAATCATGAGATATTCCACTCACTGTGCTGAAATCGGGGAGGATTGTCATTGACATCCAAGAGAGTGATCATTACAGTTGTTGTTGCTGAATGTCCACCTGTTTGGCCAGTTCTGGCTTCGACGACGACAAAGTATGTATCTTGTGTTTCTCTGTCTACCGGGTAAATCGTTCTTACTACTCCTGCAATAGATATAAAAACATAGGGAAGGTCCTGCTTGATCAGATCACAGACTATGTTGTCCAGCATTCCTTTCCCACAGTGGTCAAGTTGGTACCTATGGAAAGCCACAAGCGGGATGTGAATGCAATAGGATCTTCCCACCAATGTTGCCAGCAACTGGCAAATTGCAATTAACTACAATCTCTTAAGTACTCAAATAGCTGGCCTTCAGCATTTACACGTTCCTGTAGTCTAGTTTCTACACTCAATCACACTTTGGCACAGGGTGAAGTACTCTGTATAACTCTTATAACTGTATACCTACTTTTTCACCCTCCCACCCCGGTATTTTGCTTCATGATCTTTTGAATGTATTAGTGATATTTCTACTATGTTACTAGGGAAATATTCTCAAAATTGTTGTACATTGTTTAGTGCTTTGCCAAGAGAAAGAAATGGTTTTCACATGGAATCTGAACAGGAAAGCATTGCAGAAGCAGTGTTTAGATATAAAGGTTTCACAGAGAATATGAAAACTAGAGATAAAGGCTTAAATCCGGTGCCATGCAAGTGAATCTTCTCATTCAACATGATTCGAAATGGCAGAGTTAGATATTGCCCCAAGTCCCCATTCTGTCAAGATAAGTACTATCAGTTATTTGCCTTACAAAATTCTCTTGATGATGGATCTGATAAAAAAATACAGAAAGTTGTTATCATTATATAATTTATCTTTCTATAAATGTACGATTTATTTTCACTTGTTTTCTTACTTATTAGCAATTTCCAAGTAGTTGTTCAGCTACCAAGCAATACCTGTTGTTGGCTCCACAGAAAAATAGGGTTGTTCTGGAGGAATGCTGTAAAACAAGCGGGCACCAGATGGATCTGTTGCTGTCACCTGAATCACTGAAGTACCTGATCAAACATCAGATGAAAGACACGGTTGTTATGGAACTGTTTGCTTTCTGGGGCAGCGGCTGCTCATCAGGTTAAAAAAAAAGACCTTGATGAGATGCTTTGCTGCTTTTCTATTTCATAATTTCATTTGACGTAAATATACATACTTTGAAAACTGCATGGAGGGTTTCAGCCTGAGTAGGCCCATATGTCTTTTCTCATGTATAAACACTACCATAACCACATTCCTTAGATCTGGAGATGTACAGCTGTTTTATTTAATGAAGATACAATACCAGCATCAAAGGTAAGGCTTTCTCTATAAGAGTGCCCACTCTTTTGTAGTTTTTTGCCTGGAGACAGATGCCTATCTTATTACTTAGGAGATTGCCAAAAGCAGGCAGAAACTGATTTTATTGGAAAACATTTTCTGGTTCTGTTTACTTAATTTTCTAAATCTTGTGCTGCTTTTAAATTTTTAAATTTTCTAAATCTTGTGCTGCTTTCATAAATGTTGTGAATGGCTTTCATGATCTTTGTCTTGATAGCTAACTTGATATCTAACTTGATAGCTAACTTTGCTTGACTCTGCCCATGGTAATAATTTATAAATTATAGGGTCTAATCCTAACCAATTTATTATATTTTGGCATTCTGTTATTCCAACAGTCAATAGCCAACATGGAAATAATATGGAAGTGACTGACAACATAAGCAGTGGGAGCCATTGAGCTCAATGGGACTTACTCTCAAATTAAAAGATATAAATTAGTTGCTGCCATGTTTTGCATCCTTCTCCAGTTACCTTGTTTAAATTTTATTTTGTGATCTTTTAAATGTATGGTATTTATACTCCTTTCCTCAGGAATATTCTCAAAATAATTGCATTTTTCTTAGTGCTTTGCAAAGAGAAAGAAACTGATTAATTATATATTATATGGTGAAACAAGTAACTTTTTTAATGGAATCTGAACAAGAACTTACCCCAGAGGCAGTTTTTAAATAATAAAGAGTTAAATAGAATACCATGCAAGGGAAAGTCTTCTCATGAAATTTGATTTTCCCACGCTTTCCCCTCCCACTGCAGTCCCTTGGAAAAGCCCAATTCTGATCTTCCCTTCCCTGAAACTTCTGGAACATATAGGATTGGGGAAGAGCAAGGTTGTTTCAGGGGAGAAAGGAAGTCTGCTTTTTCATTCACTTTGTCACTGATGCCATGGGACTATTGGGTCCAAATCAAAGAAATTGGATGTATACCGAATGTTTTTGTTAGTAATATTTTTTAAAATGTAGCCAGTCCCTACACATTGAGGATTTCCCAGGACAGAAGGCTTGAATCCAGGCAAATTGTCATGTTGAAAATAAGGAACTTGTAGTTTCAGAGACTGAAATAAAAAGTCCAAAGGAAGCATGGGCTTTTATGTGGAGTCCAGTCAAGGCTGATGCCATTAGTATTCTGTCATTTATTTGCCTAAATAAATTAAACCTGTGCATGAATTTTTAAGATCTATGCCTTGCCCTTTCTATTTCTGCCCTGTTTGCCATTCTTTACAACTTCTGCTTTTGAAACATGTGCATGTGTACCAGAGCACCTATTTTTCACTTGCTATAAGTTTAAATGGTGGTAATAAAAGACACCATTATAAAAAAACACCGGTGACCTATGCATGAGTACTGTATCAATCCCTAATGTAATGCCTATAGTAGACCTGAAAAGAAAGTTAAAAGAAGCAGTGTATCTGAGACACACAAAGGGATTCTGATAGCTTTTTCTATCCTTAAGGTCTGTAACAAGCATTTCCACTGAAGAACAGAGAGTGCAATCCATCTGCAGAAGACAATTTCCTCTTTAGTTGGAAGCTGGCCATGTCCTAGATCTAAATCCAGCATGATCCCCAAGGGCCTTCCAGGAGATTATATCCATGAAGGAAGCATTCTTCAGCAGTCCGTTTTTATATAATGCAATGTTTATGTCTAACTCATTTCTTACCTAACACCTAAATTAAAATACAAATCAACCTCCCTCTTGGGGGAAGCAAGACCTACAGCCAGTTTCCATGGCTTTTTGTCATAGAATTGCATTACCACAATTTATCTCAAGCAATTCTGCAACTGGCAGTTTCACTGATAAAATAGTCAGCAGTACCCTGGGGAATTTTAGTTCCTGATATTATCTGTAAATATGTTGATAGGGAAAATGGCTGTTTTCGAGACATCAGAAGAAATGTTCTAAATGAACAGGAAGTTCTGCTAGTTATGTGAAATCTGATTTGTATTTTAAGGTAGCAGTATAGAGTCTACCATATCTGGTTATGGTTCTAGAAAGTTTATCCCTGAAGGGCCCCTGAGACATTAGAAAATGCCACAATGGACATACAATGCTCAGATTGAAGTGTTGTTTACATATGCCAGGGATACATAGAGGATTACAGACCCAGTTAGGGTCTTCTCCTGGCTCTAACCTCTGTGGTCACCAATTTGAGGTGTTCCTCCAGGTTTTCTCAGGATTTCTGCATTCAGAAAAGGTTGAAATGGCTCCACTAAGGCATAGTTACTAAGAACTTTAGCCTAAAATATGCTGGGTTTCCTTTTTGTGGGGGTGTCTTCTCCTTTTGCTTTTGGCCCTGTCCACCACTGCATTACAGCTCCAAGAGCTACTCCGAAATGGAACTTTGCCATCAGGCTGAAAGATGTTCTGCACTCATGATTCCTGCTTGCACATGCCTGAGATAACTTGAGAACAATGAATTCTGAAGACTGCTTTAGGGCAATCAGCTACATCTATGGTTTTTCGCAGAATGAAGCCATTCAGGAAAATGCTGGCAATATGGGAACTGATAATTTTGACATGTTGATAAACATAAGTCAACAAAGACATTGAAATTATTAGCTTCCAAACACTCTGTCTACTAGCTTCCAAATAAGCTTAAGCATGTATAGCTAAATAATTTTAATTGTTTGTTTTCACAATATTTTTGTGAAGTAAAGGAGTTTGGATGCGTATCTTAAATTTCAAAACGTAACCTAAGATGTAACCACTGGATGACCCTTCTCTCTCAGTGTAAGTTATCTCTCAGAATAGTTATAAGGATGAAGACAAGAGGGAAGGAGCATATATGTACATGCATATGTTCATGTATACTGCCTTGGAAGACAGAAAGCTAAATGAACTAAAGAGGTTTTGGAATGACTACTACTAGAAAAGATAATCAAATAGTATAATATCATGAAAGTTACAGAAGAGTCACATGGAAGCAGTTTTAAATAAGATCTCAAATCTACTGAAATGCTGAATATGATCATCACATTGTATTATTTACATCTGTAGAGATGTAATGTGTAGACATTTGAACTATACGGATTCCATTTCATGCAAGATACTAAAAGCTGAAGACAAAACTTCAGCCACAAAACTTCAGGCCATTTAGTGTTATATTTCTCTTTGGTGTAGTAAATTCAAATGCTGCATATCAGAGTAGAGAGGAGAAGATACTAAGAAAGCATGCAAAATTGTAATCTAATGTGTGTTTGTAACAATGCACATATTGATGCTTAAATGGCACTTGGGACCCTACTAAAGAGACTATAAAATCTGAAGAGGCCAGAAGAGACTGTGCACATGTCTCAGAGCATCTAGGAATGTATTTAAATGAGTCAGGAAGGAAGCTTTCATTTCTATTTTATTTAAAAGTGGATTCAATTACCTTGAAAATTTTCATGATGTTGATGATTCACAGAAGCCACATGGCAGAGGAGGGATATGATCTAGACAAACTATAGTTCCTATTCCAAGAAGCATGCCAATCCAAAGAGGTTAGAAAGGATAAACTAAGCCCAAGGTAAAATCCTGAGAAGCAGGCCAGGTAGCTAACAGGCAGAGACACAAGCAGGGGAAATTGCAACACTTGGTCAGCTTGCCAGCAAGTTCTGACTGTTTTTTCTCATGTTGGGCAGCTCTGGAACAGGCTGGCATCAAGTCATTTAGCATGGACTCTTTTTAGTTTCCACGACAACCTTCACAGTATATGTGACAGTAAGCGGAGCTGAGTATAAGCCTCTAGACAGTGAAAATTATTTTAGGAGAATGATGAGGCCTGTTGAGATAAAGATCCATTTTGCACAGCCTAATTCAATCATGGCCACCCTGTCCAAAAATTAATCTTTCAAACACTTCAAAATGGGAAAGATTTCAAACTTTTAAAAACAGATTTCACTGTACCCAATGGAATTTTTATCCAAGATTAAAGATCCTCCGGGCTCATTTCTGCACTGTATCATTTCTATGCTTGTATTTATCCTTCTGTGCATGACACAGAAGTGGTCTCTTCTTAGATTTGTAATTGAAGTTCAATGAAGGACAAAAGAAAAATGAAGGGAAACAACAGTGTGTATAAGATTGGGGAAGGACCATAGATAAGTAATAAAACAATCTTTCTCATCCCAGTGCCCTACAGATATGTTGGATGTTACTGGGATAGATTTATCAGCACCAGGGCATACGTGGCAGGCATCTTTGGCTGGAACACTGGGACCTGAGTGCTGGAGAAGAGTAGAGGTCTTAGCAGAATACAGGATGAGAGACAGAGGCAAAGTCCAAACTGAAGTAAGGTGCTGGCAAGATAATGCAGGTCCAGAGGTAAGGGCAAAGCCCCAGCACAGTTACTGGCAAGGCAAGGCAAAGTTGGAAATGAAGGTGCAGATCAGAGGCAACCCAAAGTCAGATACCAATAAGGAGAAGGAGGGCCAAGAACAATCTAAAGTCAGAGAAGGCAAGGAGGAGGATCTGGCAAGGAATAGTCGGACTAGAAGCAAATGAAGAGGCAAGAGTAGGGTCAGAAACACAGTGCAGCTCCCACAAGAGACCGTGGTGCTGTGGCAAAACTGAGCACTGTAGGGAAGCCTTCTATAACCTTTCAAGAGTTTCTAGCAGTACTGTGTGATGGCAGACTCTCCAGTCCATGCAAGTAGCTACATATCTGCTCCTAGCCCTGCAGGCACTGACAGGGTGAATTGTGCTGCTCATCACTGGAGGAAACTGTGTCAAGGCCTTAGATTCTGACAAAGACCAACAATGGACTCACCATTACCCTGTGCTGGGGCTGAACCATCACCATGTGGGACAAAAGAAGAGAATTAAAGAGGAAAGGGAAAGAAGGAAAACTCTTATATGAAGATGTGGCTGTAAACACAGTAGGAAAGAGAGGTGAAAGGAACTGGAAGTTGGGGACAGAGTACATGCTAGATTTGAAAAGAAAATGGGAAAAGAAATGATGGGAGATTGGTAAGAAGAGAAATACGGCATTGGGGAGAAAGAGTGTGTGTGTGTGTGTGCATGCGCACACAGACATCTTTATAAGTGTCTCTAGTCTTCATGAGTGCCTCAGTGGATACATTTATTTATTTGATTTATGCCTAAGCATTTTTTTCTTTTTAAAGAACTCAACCTGGTTTACATTATAGCCACAACAACAACGCTGTGAGGTAGGCTGGACTGAGAGACTGTGACTGGCCCTAAGTCACCCTGTTGGCTCCAAGGCTGAGCAGGTACTAGAACCCAGATTGGCTGAATCCCAGGCCAGTGCTCTTTACCACTGCACCACACTGGCTTTTTTTGGTTTGTGTTGAACCCTCTTACAAAACAAACTCATGAAATGGTTTGTGCTAAGCTCTCTTACAAAATGGCTGCCATGGGAGGACTTGCTCATTGAGACTACTGGATGAGTCTCATCAAAATGAGACTACTAGAAAAGCAACTCAGCCAAGAACCTAAGTGCAAGGCAAGATGAAAAATCAGGCTTAGGGCCTCTGGATCAACCAATTCCTACTGTAACAGAGAGCCTGAGTAATGATTCCTCCAGAGCTGAGTCTACACTTAAACATGAGGAAAGTTTAATGATGGGACTTTCTGTTATTAGGAATCATCTGTAGCAAAGAATACATACATTTCCAGAAAGGGATAGGTGCAAATATGACATGAGAATATTGATTATATGTCAAGCTCTGCCTCCGTTTTGCAACTGGTGGGCCTCAGCCATTTGCAGGTCAAGCATGCCTTAGAGGTAGAAAATTTAAGAAATCTTATCTGATTTCATAAAAACAAAGTACAACATACAGTACCTTCTGCAGACATTTCTGGAACAGTGGCTTTATAAGGTCCATTCAAGAACCGTGGCCCATTATCAGCCAGAGAATTATGTTCCTTTTCTGCAGCTGTCTTCCTCTGAAAGAATGATGAGCAACAAGCTGATTTCCAGATAGTGTTCAAACAAATAAACCTCACAGTATTGGATGTCATGGTATTTTGCATGGTTATCCATGTTCTTAAGTATAGACTTAGATTAAATGCAATTAGAACATTTCATCCCAGTTATAAAGGAAATGGTGCATTGATTCTTTTGGCATAATTTTCTCTCTGTAGCAGAAAGTAGCATTTGAGGAATTGGATAATTGTTCTTGCAAATAGACTAGAATGGCAAGCTTTGGAATCTGGAAGTTATCACTTTATAGATGACAGCTGAAGATCATTCCATTTGCATGGCTCTACTGAAATAAGGAAGTTCAGCAATCAGTGGAATGTGAGGAAATCAAGTATGAATGGCTTGGGATGTTAATGTGAAATCAAATATTTATCAGACAACTCAGATATTCAACTCTGATTTCCATATTTATGTATGAATCCGTTTTTAGCCATCTTCCAAGGCCATTGTTGTCCCAAGGTAACTTGGAGATAGAAATAATAAAATTCAACAGCAAACATTAATAAAAATCATACTAAACACATACTACGCTAAATAAAGCCAGTTACACTAAAATATGCTTTTAAAATATCAATAAACAATGAACAATATAACTTTTTTCATGGAAAAATCAGGAAGAACAGATGAGCTTTAAGTATTGAGGAAAAAACACTTGGCTTAATTCAAAAAAGTTGCCTTTCCATTCTGGCTTGATTCCCAAAACAAAATGAACAAGGAGGTCTAACTGAAAATATTAAAACATGCAGACATGTACAAAACTATAGATAGATGGGGAACACAAAAAGAAAAAACCCTGAAATGAAGGCATAGACCCTTCCACACTTGATGCAAGTGGGCAAACACATTTTGGCTGCACACACACGACCTATGATTCCAAGTATGCTGGATATTATTGGACTTTTTTCTGTATGAATATATATAGGACTGTGCTCTTACTTGCACAAATGTCCTTGCAATTTCATATCCATCCTTCTTATTTCAGTTTATCTGCAATCCTGACCATTATGTACTGCTTCTGAATATTAGGAAGAAGATGCAACAGTAGTGGAAACAAACAGTTCATTTCTTTTGTTTATTTATAAGATTTACAGGACACTCCCATCTCCCCAAAGCTGCATCTAGAGGACTCCAGGATGCTTCAACTTTGTGAATGGAAAAGGACTCTGACCTTGGAGTGGCATCCCATGATCAGATTGCCCTTCCCACCTCCTGCAGCTGGCACAGAAACAACCACTTTGGCTGCTTCTCCAAGGCCATGATACCAATCTTGGGGAAAAGGTACTTTCCGAGAGAAAGAGAGAAAACTGGATACATCAGGACACAATGTGTCTGGTAACACTCTCCAAACGAAGTGTCCACACATTCTCTGCACTTCTCCTAACCTCCAAGCCATGTCTATAACTTCTGAGATTGCAGGATTACAGGCATTTGACCTGGATTGTCCTGATATACCTCCAACAGGATTCCAAATCAGTGAACAATAATAGAAAGAAACATATAAAAGCCGTTCATCACAATGCAGACATGGTAGATCATGAGCAGTAGCTTGTTGAAATAGAGATCTTCAGCAAGAACTGCTGACAAAATAATGTTGTTGCTTGCTTGACATCAACAGTCAGGAAGTTCCATAGAGATGGAACCAATGCACTGAAGCCTCTATTCTGATGGGATTGCAAACATACCACAGGTCTATGTGGAACCGCCATGATCTGATAAGGCAGAAGATGCTCTCTCAAATATAAACAATGGGGACAAGCTCTGAGAGAGAGCTAAAGCCTTCATGCCCCAAACATCATTGTTGTGGCCCTACTACAAATTTGTAACAAGGGCTCTTGTTACAAACACATGCCAAACACATGCCATGATCCTACCATAGTACAATCTAATCAGTCTTGAAAGAAAGGGTTACGTTTTAAATCTGAAATAACAAATGTAGACAAAAATTTGCACATTTTTGAAATGGCTTACACTGTACCATGTCCCAAACACACCCATTTTCTTTTTTCTTCTATTATTGTATAAAATAACATCCCACTGATTAACACTCTTCAAAACTTGCTACCTGTTTAATAGAACTTTGATTAGTCCTAATAAAGATATTCCCCTTCATGGATCACTGCCTTGCAGGGGCAAAGGGGCTTGCACAGTTCAAAGAAGCTATGAGCTAAGCTGTGTAGGGGCACCCAAGACAGAAAGATCATAGCAGAAAGCTCTGTCAAAATCTGATCCACTGGAGAAGGAAATGGCAACCCACTCCAGTACCTTTGCCATGAAAACACCATGGACAACAAAGATATTATCTTGTTTTATATTTTTATTATTATTCCATGGACCCATGTGGCTACACATACTTTATAATACACCCTTTAAAGCTTTATATTTTATTTCCTGTTCATAATAACAGTGTTGTTTACCCTTGCTTCAGCAGGTGAGGTGTTGGAGCTGGTACAAACTTAAAACGCACCCATATTGGGATTCTGTCTCATGCATAAAATCATGCCATTCATGCATAGAAGTTTTTGTGAATGCTCAGGCATGAACTACCTACAATTTGGAGTGTTACCTTATGTACATTTAGACAGA